AGTTTTTGTATTTAAAAATAATAAAAAAAGTATTATTGAGTTTTTCTTTATTTTTTCTCCAAAAAAGACTTTATTTTAAGCGACAGCCACAGGATTCGAACCTGTGCGGGTAAACCCATTACATAGCTTCAAGTTAAAAGAAACCTCCTATCTTCGCGAAAAATTACCCGAGGAGAGAAGTTAAAAATTCGAGTGTAACGCCTTAACCGCTCGGCCAGACTGTCTAAAAATCCAAATTAAAAAAATTGAACCTTCCTATTTACGGGAAGGAAAATTTTTATATTTTCTTTTAATTAAACAAAAATTTAATAGATTTTTGCTTTATCATTTTAAATAAAATTTTTTAATATTGGTTTATTAAAATTATCAAAAAAGTTATTTAAATAAATGTATATATTATAATTTTCCTAAATGTTGCTGTTTTGCTAATAAATAAATTGAAATAAGTTGTTCAAAACATACTTATTTAAAAAATTGTTTGGCTATTTGATATTATTCTATAAAGAAAAGCAGCCTATTTTTTTTTTCATTTCCTTTTCTTTTTGTTTCTGTGTTTTTTTATAATTTTTTTTTTTGCTATTAACTAAATTTAATTTGATTTAATTTCTTTGTCTTTTTTCGAGCCAATCTTTGCAAACAAATAATATGATTATCCAACTCATCAAAATGGTAATAAATCCTATAGATATATTAAATGTGAACATCTCAGTGTATCCTCTATATTCCATAGCTTCGATTACTTGATCTGTTGATTCCATGAAAATAAATCCACCAGATAATAAACAGAATGATGAGATAATCTCTGTAAATGGTCTTTGGGCTACACCAACTTCCTTGGCTGGGAAAACCAGCATGTAAATCATTGATAATAATCTGAATGGGGAACCATAAGATAATAAAGATCCCCATTGAACATGAACAGCTGTAGATACTGGGGAAGCTTGAGCATGTTTAGACATCAATATACCTGTCCAAAATATTGTAAAAGGTCCAAGTGGATTTAATGAATATCCTGGATTTGCAACAATTATATCATCAATTTCTTCTTGAGACAGTTCTCTATTTTCAGTTTCTTTGATTATTTGTTTGTATTGCTCCAAACCTTTTTTGTATTTTACATCAGACATATAAAATTCAACTAATAAACCACATAAACCTGCACCTAAATACAAAAATGCAATTGATACATGTTGTAAATCTTTAGCAGTCCATTTCCCATCTTCAGATGCTAAATGTTCTAAGAAAATATTTGTTGATCCATAAAAGAAAACCAAAAAGACTTCTATAAACTCCATATTAACCCCGGATTTACCAAATAACTTAGTCCAAAGAGGCACATTATATCTACCAGTAATTTCATTATAGTAATCACTTCTTTTTAAAATAGAAAGATTCCAGCCCCATGATTTGTTTAATCCAAAACCACAATATCTTGCCAAGGAGACTATACCCAAAATGACAAATACACCACCTTTGATCCAGTGTGCCAAAAGATTGAAAACTCTGTTTTTAGGTGTTCCAAGCAAGTTACCAACAGCTAAACCAATACCACAGTGAATGAAAAGATAAAATAGTATCAAATAATTCAAAGTATTGAAAAGCAAAGAAAATATTTTGTTAAAGTGAATACTCAACTTCTTTACTAATGGGATGTTGTAAACTTTGACATATAATTTGTTTCTACCTTCATTCAATTTCTTAACTTTTTTACCAATTAAATTGTCATTATTAGAATGGAAACTATATCTTGCAGCACCATTTGAATTAGATCTTGAATCAGGTGCTTGATGTGTTTCACCGGAATATCTCATATTTTCCTCTATACTATCTTCAATCTCAAAATTAGATGTGAAATCTGAAGTGTCATTTTCAGGAACCATATATAGCATTTCATAATCTGTATTTTCTACTATTTTGCTCCCCAAAT